GGCTCCCCAGCCTGGCCTTCTCAGTAACCCTTGGTCCCCCTGTATGTCTGGGCACCCAATTAGCTTTCCAAACTGAGGCTTGTACTTCCCACCCTCAACGCTGTGGGGAGAGGGCTGAGTGAACCTGGGCAAGCACTTTGCCCTCTGAGTCTGTAGAGACCTACGAGAGGGTACACACAATCTGGGCTGTGCCTTGCTAGCCGTGTTGAGTCATTGTGGCCTTACTGGTTGCTGCCCCTGCCTGAGTCAGGCCTCGTAGGCCAAGGCTGAGCCTCAGTTAGCTCACCCGAGGAATGGGTGAGAGGGCGCTCCCCCACAGGACTTGTGGGAGGCATGGTGTGGCATGGCCAGCCTCTCTTGTGTCTCTATTCTCCCTGTATCAGCATCAGCTCATTGAGTTGCCTGTGGGCCTACCGGGGCAGCCATGATTCCGATCTTCATTCAAAGTAGAGACCAGCAGGTAAGTCTCCAGGACCCACAAGGTAGAAGGAGACAAACGACCCCTGCAGATTGTCCCTTGATTTGCACAGATGGGCTGTACTGCAGGTACACACCTGAGCACATGTATGCACGCAGGCACACATGCACACACACATCGATACATATAAATAAACAAAAATCTTTTAAGGGGGAGAGGGGCAGAAACCCAGAGAAGTTAAGTGACTCACTCAAGGTCACACAGCCAAGAAGAAAGCTGCTAGCCAACCACTCCACAGGCCACCCTTGCCCTGCCCCCTGTCCTCACGGCAGGGAGGGAGGGAGGTCCCAATAGTAGTAGCGACCAGTTTTTCCTGGCCCTGTCAGCTGCTTTAGGACTCTATGTGGGGCCCAAAGGGGTCAAACCCATGCTGGGAGAGCCAGAGAGAGGAGCCTGGGAGGGAGTCACAGAAACAGTGGAAGGGAAAGGAGAGACCTGGGATTAAATCCCAGGTAAGGGAAAGAGAGAGGACAGGCATGGAGCAGGGAGGCACGGGAGGGTGAAGGCCATGGGCAGGGCAGGGCTATGGGCAGGGCAGGGCCACAGAGGGCAAGAGCCAGTAGCTCCCACAGTCTCTGCTATCACCTTTAAAGTCAGGAGGCTGTTGCCACCTGAGTGGCACCCACAGAGTCCACTTAAAATGCAGGATGGAGCTGGTCCCGCCTCTGCCCTAAAGCCACCCTCAGCATAGTCAAGGTCCACACACACTCTGCCAGCTGCAAGGCCTGAGCGCTCCGGCCACCCCATCTTCGTGAGATGTATAAGGACAAGCCACATATTCTGCTGGGTAAGCGTCCAGTGGCTGCATTGCTCTGGGGACATTGGACTTGACTTCTGGGAGATACATGAGGTTCAGGGAAGCATACTCTGGTAGAAGGAATAGAGAATGCCAGCTCCCTGGGGTGGGAGGAGCCAGGCTGGGGTGGGTCTCCCGGGACAGTGGAATCTGCATGCCCACCCAGCCACCTGGAGCCTGGAGGAAAAGCTTGTGATTCCATACATAGAGAGACCTGCAGACTTAGCTAGCCATTGTAACAAGAATCAACCCCACCAAAGGGACTGAGTGGGGATGAGCAGGGAGAAGGGAGGAAAGGAGAGGGGATGCTCACTGCATATGTGGGATATTCCTTTTGTCTTCAGAGTAACCACGCTCCTAAACTACCCCTCAGCACAATTGCTCATGGTTTGGCAGTGCGCCTGGACTCTTCTTGGTATCTCTTAGGAAGTCACAGGAGGTGGTGCTGGGCCTGCTGTCAACCGAGCTCAGCCACTGCCTCCTGGCCTTGCTTCTTTGGGTAGCATTGTGACCTGGGCTTCTCCCAGCAGGGAATGTGCCGGCCAGGAGGACAAGTCAGGGTGTGGAACCACCAGGTAGGCGAAGGGCCACCCTGGGCTCTTGTGACAGCAGGTCCAGGTTCAAAGAGACACAGATGTCACGGCTTGATGGGGTTACTTAAGGACACATGCAGACAGATAAGGGACAGGATGAATGGCTGTGGCCATCACTGGGACAAGACCCCACCAGGCCCCCTTGGGCTCTGGACAACTTCTCCAGAAAAGATGGTGGCAGGACTTCCAGAGTCTCATCGGCTCCGAGCCCACTGCAGCCTCATGGGAGCCCAACACAAAGATTGTTCCACCCAAGGACATTTGCAGAGAGCCAAGTGGGAGGGTGGTTTATCTTCCCTGGGAAGTCCTTGAGCGTACTGCAGAAATGCCTGCTGTTCCCATGCCAAGAGAGGCAGAGGAGACGGCTTCGAGTAACCCTCCCGAGGGTGACATCAGACTGCTCTTTCCACACTGCAGGTGAGAGCACATGTGTGTGAGTGTGCATGTGTGTGTTTGCATGCAGATGTATGTGCGTGTATGCACATGTGTGTATGTACATTTATGCGTGTCTATGTGTATGTGTTTATATGTATGTGTATGTGTTTATGTGTGTCTATGTGTGTTTATATGTATGTGTATGTGTGTGTGCGTGTGGACCCAGAGAACAATTTGGTCATTCCTCAGCTGTTGCCCACCTAGATTCTCTTAGCTGGGTCTGTTACTAGCCTAGAAGTTACCAAGTAGGTCAGGCTGGCCAGCCAGTGAGCCCTAGAGCTCTGTATTTGTCTCCACCTGGAGTGACAGGAGCACGTCACAACTAGATTATTTTTTAATGTGGGTTCTTGGGATGGAACCCGGATCCCTGTACTCCCGCCTAGGCTCCCTAAGTGTCTGCTGAATGATAAGATAAAAGCCTGCAAGGACTCTGCCAGCCATCTAAATCGTCTCCTGGTACCTGCTCTGAAGTGGCGGTCACAGGAACTCTCTCAGTTCCTGGGAGGATGAGGAGGACATTGTTGGCTGCAGCTGAGTTACACGTGCCATGGGGCATGCCTGCCACCTGGCACTCGGTAGCTCACGGCTCTCAGCATCCCAGGGGGTTGCCCCATGCACAGAACTCAACGGTGTGGCTCACACACAGGAAGTCACTCGCCAAAGCCACATATGTCCATCACAGGGACGATCCCTAAACTGCTGTGTTCCCATGAGGCTCAGGGGACCACCTCTGCTCCAGAGCAGCCCAAAGGGCTTCTGTCACCCCACAGGCCACCCCACAGAGAGGAAGCTGCCATCGAGAGGCCTGCTGGTGTGGCCCTGGGGTCTAGGGTGGTAAGCCAGTGTACACACTGCTTGGAGCCGCCTCACCTCAAATTTAGCAAAAACAAAACTTTTAATTTAGATGTTTGCATCTCTCTGTCTCCAAGCAAAAATAACTCTAAGATAATGACTGTAATAAATGAAGGTAATTAATTGTGGTTTGTTCCTTTAGTGTCTAGTCAGCTTAATTTTACCTTTTCAGCTAATAATGAGAAAATAATTTTTGTGCGTGGAGGGTTAATGACATGTAACTGTGAGAGCCGCTAATTGCATGTTGCAATCCATCCATCAGCGGCCCCATCTGCGTGGCTTGATTATGTTTGCTAAATTATTGCTTTGAATTATCTTTCATAAAAGCAACTTTTATAATTAGTGGGGCTTTGGGGCTGGCTCCCTTTCTCCTCGCACAAGGATTTTCAAACTTCGGCCATTTCAAGCTGGCTCCCGGAAACCACCTTCCCTGGGCTGGCTTTTGTTTTCCGGGGAGGTGAGTGTGTGTGTGGGGGACTCTAAATTGTCCTTTGAGCAATCAAGGAAGCCTTGACTCACAGAGGGTCGAGTCCACTTCCTCCCCACCACACCTCCCGTAGGCAGGAAAATGGATTCGGGGTGAGGGGACTCCTGACTCTGCACACACCAAGGCAGGAACAGCCCTGGCTAAGATGCTCAAGATCCTCTTCCCACAGGGGTGAGGAGAGGCCTGCGGCATGGCAGTTCAGTGAGGTGACGACGAGGAAGGCAGGGCCTTGGGGAACGCAGTCACGGTAAATTCTGTGGGTGTGCGGCAGGAGAGGTCCCTCAGAACAACTGCCGGCACACCATACCCCGTGCCACCCAGCTGCTGCCCCCTCCGCTGGATTTGTAGACTTGGCTTTGGGTGTCACAGGAGGGGAGTCGGGGTTCCGAGAGGTCGGAGAACCTCTCCAGGGCCATACCGCTGGAGGCGCCGGGCTGAAGTTCCAAGCCTCGCCACTCATGAGGCTGTGCCTCGGGTCTTCTCATCACTTCCAATGCTCAAGTCTTTCTTCTACTGCAAAGGGGAGACATCTCTCTCCACCAGCCTCCACCTTCCCCAGTGCTGGGATTATAGGTGTGCACCACCACTCCCAGCTATTCCAGAGGCTTCTAATACCCAAGACACTGTTCCGAACACTTCCTTGTGATTTTCCTTGCTCCCTCCTCAGCCTCAATCTTATGAAAGAGAGAAAATTATCATCAAGTTGACAGAGGAGGGCACAGATAGGCCAAGTAACTCCCGTAAGATCACACAGCCAGTAAGTGGTGGAGGCAGGGTTCCAACCCCAGCTATATTCCTCCAACACTCTGAGAGAGCCAGATGGGTGTGCCCATTCCTTTCCTGCATTCTCTCTCATTATCCACATCCAAAACAACACAGGATGCCCAGAAGTCTCTTTATCCCCATGGTGGGACAGGGAAATAGAGGTTTGGCCTCTAGAGAAACCCGGCCCACACCAGTGTTCATGGACTTGCAGCTGCGGCCTCTGTGCTCAGGGGCTGTGTGTGGAAGAGTTTTCTGGGACCACCTGAGCTCAAGGAGAGCCCTTGTCCATGGGGCATTAGAGGTGGGCTCCCCTTCCCAGCCCAGCAGCACCCCAGCAAGTTCTAAGTCATTATCAATGCCATAGATGGTAGGACATTCTGATGCCACAGGGTGGATGGGCAGGTAGGGGCAGCCATTGCCAGGTGGGCTGGCAGCAAAGGCCATGAGTAAGGCTGGCTTCACCCAGAGCGTGGTGGGGGCAGATGTGCTGGGTGGGCTGGTGGCAGGGGTTTAGCTACCTCAGATAGCCTGGGGGAAGGGAAGCCCAGTACACATCACCCCCACCTCCCCAAGCGCTTTTTCACAGGCTCTTACCTCGGCTTGGAAGCTTTTCAGCACGGGGGCCACCATCTCTCTGAGTCCCTGCAAAAGAGATGATGGAGGAGGGTCTGCCATAGTGCAGGTACTCCTGAGCCCACCCCAGCAGCCCTCACCATCGTTCTCTGTGGAACCTGAACTGTGGTTTTGTAAGGAATAGACACACACACACACACACACACACACACACACACAGGCACACATGCACGCACGCACTCACGCACGCACCCCAGGTCCTGTCCCTGCAGTACTTTTTAGAGCCTTTACTGTCCTAGCATTGGGTCTTCTGCAGAGGGAGGCAGGATGGCTATTTCCTAAATGCACAACTGTTTTCCTTTTGGTGGCATTGGCATGGAGTGAAGAACGCCAAATTCCACACCTGAGTTACAACCCCAGCCCTTAGCATTTTGAGACAGGGTCTCAAAATGTATGTAGCCCAGGCTGGTTTGAACTCATGACCTCTTACCTTAGCCTCCTGAACATTACAGTGACGGTATCCATGATGTCCTTGTGGGTGGCACGGTTGACCTGTGGCTTAGCTCAGGGGAATAGGGGACGGAGAGCTGACCCTGATTTTCCACTCTTAGCTCTAGGTGGAAAAAGTACCCCCAGGAAGTCCCTCTGTCCTTCCAGGTGTGGCATGGGGCTACTTCTCCCTCAAGGCCATCTCCCATGAATCGGGACTTGCATTTCACCAAAAGTCACCACTATCCCTCTCTGTCCTTCCTCATCAGAGCATGGAGTGGTTTCTAGGACGTGGTTGTGTACCAGTTCTGGGATGCCACGTACGGACCAACGGCTTCACCAATGCTGTGAGCGCACAGGTAGGCTCAGCTATACCCACCCTCAGACTCCAGGGGTGGTCTCTGGGGCTCACTGAGCACTCAGCTGAGGCGAATGTCCCAAGGTGCTAACCCTGAAGCCCGTGGGTCACTCGGGGAAGCCCTGGGGATCCTTCCTCCTGCCACAATCGGTCAAAGCAACAAGGAAAATCCCAGGTGGGGAATAAAGCGGCGGTGGGGGGTGTGTGGCAGAGAAGCAGGAGGTTAGGGAGAAACCCATAGCCATGAGGACACGACCTGCTATTTCTCCCCTTGGACAAGGCTCCTGCTCTGGCCCCAGCTACCGCTCTACACTGACTTCTGCCTTTGGGACGTCCCAGCGTGACTGCTGCCTAGACGTAAAGTCCTTTTAGAGGATGCATAGACTGCCTGTGGCTTTGGCTTCAGGAGCCAGGTTGCCAGGCTGAGTGACAGCAGAATTAGAATGGCTCGAGGTCATGGTCTCAAGCCTGGACGCATAGAAGAAACCACCAGGAGGAGGTAGCCCGGTACCACAGCACCGGTTAGAGCGGCTGGTACCGGGGACTGCAGCCGAGTCTCAGGCAGCTGGGTGGATCCAATGGCCTCAGAGGAAGCAAAGCTCAACTTTGCAGACCAAAGGCCCCTGACTTTATAAAGGGGGTACTGAGGCCCCCGGGTGCTGGTCTATTCAAGGTGACGTGCAAGCAGGGTGATACAGTTGGAATCTGAGCCCAAATACAAGATGCTCTTTTCATTCCCACACCTTCGTATTCAGATGACTTTAGGGGTTCACACAGGAGAGCCATGAGATGGGGATGGAGATGGGTGCCAGGCCAAACCCCGCCAAGGATGTGCAAGCCCCAGGAGGAACCAGGCAGGCCGTATGCAGTAGGTGGACGGGACTCCCGGACGATGCTCTTAAATAAAGTTATCACGACTCTCCCATCAGGAGGGATGAGCTCCCAACACAAGAGTTTCCAGAGCCATGACTATAATAGGAGTGGAAATTTATCCCTTCTAATTATGTAATTGCATAATTATGTAGCATTATGTAAGTCAAACTCGCAGGCTGAAAACCTGGCCTGGATTTCCCTCCTCACCTGAGGGCTCCCGTGTGAAGCAATGGTTAAGGCTGAGTTCACTATGCTGGGGGAGAGAGGGCAAGACAGACCGTCTGAGAGGGCCAGAGAGAGAAAGAATGTGTGTGGGGCCATGAAGACCGACAACGGATTCAGCTATGCTTCCCAGAGATGGGAGGGCCAGAGGCATGCTGGACGTGAGCAGAAAACTCCGTTTACAGGCTGTGGTTGAAAGAGAAAGGCCGGCAGGGGATATGGCTCAGTCTGCAGAGACCTTACCTAGCACGCACAAGGCCCCAGGTTCTGCCCCAGGCGTCACATAAACAGGGTGTAATAGTACACACCTGTAAGCCAGTTCTTGGAAGATGGAGGCAGTGAGACCAGAGGTTCAGGGTCATTCTCAGCTGTATGAGGAGTTGAATGCCAGCCTGAGCTACGTGCGACCCCTGTCTTAAAGAGACCTCACTTGGGCTTGTTGAGTCATGACAGCAAGAGACACTGGGGTCTGAGCTTCTGTCCCTCTCCCACTCACACCTGCTCACACGGCTTTATGGATTACCTCAGAAACAAGTTCTAGTTGGGCCCTCATCCCAAAACTTGCCCTGGGGAACCACAGTTGTTTATGACGCCTTGGAAACCTGCCGGCCCCCGCCCACCTGCCCTCTGTGGTCCAGCACACCCCAGCAAGTAAGCTGGATCAGTGACGGACAGAGGCAGCAGCTGTTGGCTGGAGCTTAGGCTTGGCTCTGGGTCTGTTGCCTGCAACTCTCTGACAGTGTCTGGGCCCTGTCCAAGTGACACAGGGTTCAAGGGCTCCGTTTCGCTGCTTATTGTTATCACTTTTTAAATTTTATTTGTTTTTCGAGACAAGGTTTGCCTGTGTAACAGCTCTAGCTGTCCCAGAATTGGATCTGTAGACCAGGCTGGCCTGGAGCTCACAGAGATCCGCCTGCCTCTGCCTCCCCAGTGCTGGGATTAAAGGTGTGCGACACCACCGACCACCTGGTTTAAATTTTATTTTTTCAATTTGAGAAGCAACAGGGGTCTTGATGGCAGAGGGAAAATAAAATTCTCACATTCAGCCTCAGAAAAGAACAGACACATGTCTGGGCCGGTCTGCTCCTTAGGGGACAGAGAGTGGGCTTTCCATTGCCTGGACATTGCTACATCTGGGCCAAGACCGGGGCCTGGAACCTCAGTGGGGGAGGGGAGGGGCAGGTTTCAGAGCCCTAGCCATCTGTGTCTCCCAGGCCCAAGGGCAGGCAGACGATGAGCCAGACTTTAGGCCCAACTGTCTTTGCCATCAAACGCCAACCATTTCACCCAAGAGCAGGACTTGGACTGACTGCAAATCCAGGCTGCCTGGCGACCTGGGGAAGAGTGATCTGGGTGGAGGCACTGGGCGCCCCCAGCTCCAGTCATCCTGCTGGGGAGCCCCTCCCCCAACACTGTGAAGGCTGCTGGCCCGGCTATGATTTATCTTTGTAGCTAATTAACTTCTTGTTAGTCACTTATGTCTACAGTTTTCGCTACATAGTTTGAACAGAGCGGGAAGAAAGCAAGCTGCATTCCTTCTGAGTTAACACTGTAGCGGCAGGCACACTACCTCTGGCACATTTTTCTTAAATTCCCGGCGGAGTTCAATTAAACGTTTAGGAGAATGCTCGCTTTCCTCCTGTGGCAGGGACAGCTCCCAGGCGATGGAATTAAGCTCCTTCTGGAACGAGAGAGAGAGAGAGAGAGAGAGAGAGAGAGAGAGAGAGAGAGAGAGAGAGAGAGAGAGAGAGAGAGAGATTTGTCCTCTTCTCTTTGCTTTTGAATTATTGTAAACGCAACACTCTGAACAAGTCTTCATAACTCACAGGGCTGAGAAAAGGCTAGATATTGACTCCTGGCATGAATAAAAAAATGTAAAAACAAACAAACAAAAAACCCCCAGGACAGTGTGGGCTTCTCATTTTTGTCCTCCTTAGGAGCTGGGCCAGACAAAGTTAAACTGAGGTTTTTATTTCCTCCCAATCTCTGCCACCACCCCAATCCCACCTCTTAAATTTCCAAGGAGTGATGGCATAAGCCTGTCAGTAACTGAAGAAAACATCTCCAAAGCGTGTCAAAATAGCGGCGCGCGGCATATTGTATGGGCACTTTCCCCCACGCGCGAGTGCTGCCGACAGCTTCCATACATCAGCGGCGGGCACCGCTCCAACTCCTGCTTTCTCCCTTAAAGGCTCATAAATTCGCCTCTTAAGATATAGATGGCTTTTTAATTCCAGTAGATTTTGGAAAAATGAAGGTGCCGGAGAGAAGCACGCTGACCTCGCGTGTACCCCACGGTAAATCACCGAAGGTTCCCAGAACCCTTGCCCACAGGAAAGAAACAGACTGGAGGGGGGCCTGGCCTGATGTGCACACTCAGGAATCAGACCAGGGGTTGGGCACACGGGACCAGGGATGGAGAGAGAGGGGGATGAAGGGAGGGGGATGCCTCATGGATGGAGCTTGCTGCTTTACGTATGTGCTCGATAGCTTCTCTCCAAGCCTCCTTCGCTGTCTCGGGGCTTTCACAGGAGTACAATTCACCAGGCGTTGTCACGACTCATTTGCATAATTCAAGGAGCACTCTGTTTATGTGGCCTGCACTGCTGGCACTGACTTGAGACAGGCTCTTTTTTTTCCCTTTCTTTCTTTCTGGACGATAACTCGATGAACCCTCCTGCATACATCACCCGATTATATTTGCAGCAATCAAGCCCCATAATTTCCTAAATCCGGTGGTGCAATAAATTCCTGCAATCAGATTTATTAAAAAACGCACACGCAGACGCGGGGAGCGTATTTCCAGGGCGAACTCTTTAATCCAACATATGTATGACGAAGTGCGGCAGCGTGCTGAAAGACCCCATTTGTCACCGCTAATACACATTCGTCTTGCACACACAATGAAACCCTTTCACCGTTAGATAATGAAATAAAAGTACTGTTAACCCACTGCAGAGCCTTTGTGAGAGCCGATTGGTGTCTGAAACGCTGGCTCAGTGGCAATTTACTATAGTGCCACAGACCTGGTCCCCCAAACCTGTAAAGACATCCTCTGGGCACTGGAGTTCTTTGGGGGTGCATTCAAGAAAGAATGTCTATTTCTATTTTTAAAAAGTCAACTTTTGGAGCAAATCATGAGAGGGACGGTGCGCGCGGGGGGGGGTAACAGTCACTGTCTAAAACCAGGATGAGGATGTGATGCTCTCCAAGGTGCTGAAACATTCCCACATCAGCACGGGGCAGGGCTGCCTGGGGGCGACAAGTCCAAAAGTCATGAGGAATTTTGAGCTGCATGAGGAGTGGAGTCTGACAACAGATAGATCTAATGGATCTACCAATGGCTGATAGGGCCAGGAGGATGAGGCCCTCACTAGGCAGGGGAGAAAGAACTAAAATATTAAAGACCACTGAATGTTACCTTTTGCTCTGCCGCAGAACTTGGGACGCACCACTAGGTTCTGGATTATTCTGTATTTTACACAGTGAGTTTTATGAGCACTGATTTGTAAGTTTTGGAGTCCAGGCTGTCTATAAGTCACAATGCTGCTGCCTCAGCTTCCTGAGTGTTGGGATCACGGATATGCACTGACACACCTGCAGGTATGAGTTGCTATATTGGGGACCCTGGGCCTCTCCACACAGCTGCTATTGGTATCAGTGCTTAGAGCTGAGGTCTGAATTCTTCAGCCAGAGGCTGGAGAGATGACTCAGTAGATAAGGGATTGCTGTGCAAGCATGAAGACTGGAGTTCAGATCATTAGCACCCACATAAAAGCTAGGCAGGCATGGTGGCCTGCTGGTAACCTTACTACTTTGGAGATGGAGATGGGGTACTATCCAAGTGTATAAGCTTAGAGTTCAGTGAGAGACTATGTATCTGTACACAAAGTGGGGAGCGATTGAGGAAGACACATATGTATGATCACACACACTCGAGCATACATACATACATACAAGAATGCAACACCCCCCCAACACACACACATGTACACACACCTACCTAACACAGTTTATGAAAGGGAACAGCCATGCAGGGGACATCTAGCTGCCAGTGTGTGTACCTCAGGGCCCTCTCTCTGTCCGTACATCCCTGGTTGCTGGTGAGTGCAGATCTGACCAGCTGGGTGTCTGCTGGCTGTATTAACACAAAGCAGAACCAGGCCAGGCAGGAGACATTGGCGGCTCCCATCCCGGACACTGCAAGCCCAGCTCTCCTACCCAGTCCTGAAGGGGCAGACGCTGTCACAGACATGCAGACCATGCTCTCCTCTACTCTGCCTCAGTTGATGCTTATCCTTCAACCTTGAATTCTTTCAGTGTTTCTACAGTAAATGTGCAAGCACCAATGATCATGACAATAATAAATGCAATAATCGTAACTACCATTTAGTGAGTGCTTGTGTGTCCCGGGCACCAAGATAGGCTCCTAATGTACATCACCCTGTGCAATGAGCACAGTGACATTTCTTGAGAGGACTCAAGCAGGGGCTGGGCGGTGAATTATAGACTGTTCTAATAACTGAGGTGCGTGTAGTTCCTTGGTGGGTTCTGAAGGCAAATTTTCAATGCCTTGCTTTCCAGCTGTCCTTGGCTCCCTTTCTCTATCAGCTGAGGGTGTTTGGGGGAGATTGTTTTAAATAATTCAAGATCATAATTGTACCCTGCCAGGAGTTCCATAAACACTGGCTGATATTCATCTCCTTCTTAGACACACAGGGGGTACAGCAGACACCCTGCTAGGTCCAAATGTCCTTGGTTTTCACAGGTCAGTAAAAATCTCTCTCTCTCTCCTCTTTCTCTCTCTCTCTTTCTCTCTCTCTCTTTCTCTCTCATACACACACACACACACACACACACACACACACACACACACACACCCAGACAGGGTGCCAGAGTCATCAAAACAGATCCCCTTGTACTCTGAAAGAACAGGCACTTGAAAATCAACAAACCAAGAGATGGAATGGACAACGGGCCTTTAAAATAAACACACTTAGAAAGACCCATAGAACTATATTTATTTCAGGGGAACAAAAGAACTAGTCTCAGAAACATAAGCCAGCCTCATTCTCAAGCCCGGCTTCAAAGACACCCTGACACCGGCACGCGGCCGCGACAGCCACGCTTCAGCAAGACTAGCCTGTCCAGCCCCAGCCACGATCCACACAGTCCCAGACTTTTGGGCCAGGCCCAGGCAGGGAGGAGACACATGCGATTAACCTAACTAGCCATCAGCAGCAGACAGACAGCCCGGAGCCCTGTGCAGACCATTCAAGTAATGATCCCCATAAACAGCCCATTTGCAACTAAAAAGAGATAATTTTAATGAGCTGGGAGCAGATGATAGATGCAGCTGAGGCCGGAGCCAGCAAACAGGGAGAGGGAAAGCCGGGGTGGGGCTGCACCAGGGGCTGTGCTGCTGCTCCGTTTCCCCAGGCTTACCCACTGCCCGGTGTGCCATCTCAGCCCCGGGACCTCCAGGGCCTCGGAACACACGAGCCACCACCAACCTCATGGGCTTGAGGTCAGAAACATGTCCCTTGGCATAACTTTGATCACAATGCTGCTCCACTTGAAACACACACACACACACACACACACACACACACACACTCACACACACAGAGCCCAGGCTGACCTCAAACACCCTATGCTCACTATGTAGACCAGGCTGGTCTTGAACTATTAACCTTGTACCACCTTCCTTTGTGCTTGGATTACAGGTGTGTGATCCCACAGCTGGTCTGATCTCTTATTTATCTTCATATGAACACCTGGGGTTATCTCTGGCTTGAGATTTCTTTGAGACAGGATGCTACTATGTAAGCCAGGTTGGTCTCAACCCTGGGTCCTCCTGCCTCAGTCTCCTTTCTATTTATTGAGACTACATGGTTATACCCAAGTCTGATTTAGTGTGTTCTTTTTGATCCAGGCATACGAAACTTTTAAGTTCAACACTTCACTTAGCAAATCTTTTTTCACACCACATATCTGTTGTCCAGCCTAAGACTCAGGACATTTGTGTTTCTAGCACACCCTGCCCCTACACGCACAGCCAGCCTCAGGAGCTGCTAAAAACGACCACTATTCTAAACCTAGTGTCACAACTTACCTGTCCCTGGTCTTTAAATAATGATGCCCCTCTTACTTCACTAACTGGTACTGGAGGGATGGCTTGGTGGTTAGAGTGCTTGCTCACACACACGCACACACACACACACACACACACACACACACACTCACACATTCGAGGACCTGAATTCAGATCTCCAGCAGCCGGTAAAGAGCTAGGCATTAAGGCTATGTACTTCTGTAACCCAGTCACCAGCTGGTGAGACAGGTGGATCCTGGGAGCTCATGGCCAGCTTGTCTAGCCAATCAAAGAACTCTAGGTTCAGCGAGAGACCATGTTTCAAACCATGTGACATAAAACCAATGTGGCCATACAATAAAATTACCCAGTGTCACTGTCTTCCAATGAAAGGTTTTGGAGTTTGGGAGGGGACCTCAGATAACTGACTGGGCCTGCATGTCAGTACTTGTAAAATGCCTGGTGCAAAAGGGGCATTCAAAAAATATCTGCAGCCGACCTGTCAGTGGAATAAATGTGAGATGTGCCTCATGGTAGCAGCCATCAATTAATCTTTGGGACGGAAGAATGTCCACTCTGTGTAAGAT